TTTTGTGGGAGAAACGTTTCGTCACTCATCCAAGTGACTTCTTCAGTCTCAGCTGACTGCAGGTTCCCCAATCTTATAAACAGTACATTTTGCAGCACAGTAAATTAGCATACATTTGCATAATGCATACATTTGCATAATGTCATTATGCAAAGGTGATTATGCAAATGTATGCAAATCACTTGGATGAGTGACGAAACGTTTCTCCCACAAAACGCTACGTCCAGATGAACAGAATCAACTTTTGGGGATTTACTTTCCTGGATGATTGAGCATGCATCAAGACGTTAAGAAAGTGTTGCATAAATGAGTGCTCCCACACTGCAATGAACTGAAGCAACATTTTAAAGAAGAGCCAAAATGACACAATGACAAGAGCGAGTGATAAAGTCACACACAACACAATTACTTCAAGTTAGGTATTTGTCACGATTACGTATTTATTCTAGTGAACAATAATATTATAATTCACACTGCTTTCACATCTGTTCACATCTTTGTATCAAAGTAGTCCTTCTTATTCACCAAAACTTTCAACAAAATGAAATCAACAGGGCATTACTTTACATACATTTTATTGCATGATCACTCATATTCATTTAACTGTGGAAAGCCAAAACTGTGGAACCCTGCTTCAAGTTATTGTGGCTGAAAGTTATTAGTTATTTATAGCTAAAGAGGTGAACAAGTGATGTTTAACACCAAATACATGTTTAGCGGGTCTTTCAAAGATTCTTGAACAGAAATCTTCCCCAACAGTAAAGTAGAAGTACAGCATGCAGGGAAGAGAAAACCAGACCATCTCACAGAACACACAGTCCATTTCCTGAAAGTTTATTATTCTTTTATTGCTTTCTGGTAAATAATCTATTAACAGGTCTTCATTAATAAGTTAAATTCTGAGTTTGAATGTTCAAAAGCAGTGGGCAGAGATTATATGCTAGTAATTATAAATGTGCTGTGAAGGTTGAGGATAAAGAAGGAAGAGGCGTACAACCCAAAGAACACCTTCCCCACACTGAAACACGATGGTGGGAGTGTTATGCTTGTGATCGTTTCGTTTGTCTGGAACTGAGACCCAATCTTATAAACAGTACATTTTGCAGTACAGTAAATTTGCATACATATGCATAATGCACACATTTGCATAATGCATACATTTGCATAGTGTCATTATGCATAGTGTCATTGTGCAAATGTCATTATGCAAATGTATGCAAATCACTTGGATGAGTGACGAAACGTTTCTCCCACAAAACGCTACGTCCAGATGAACAGAATCAACTTTTGGAGATTTACTTTCCTGGATGATT